CTTATAAATCCGCAATCGAGTCTCGAGGGCATTTGCCAAAAAAAATGAAATAAATTCTTGTAAAAGTAGGATTTTTGTTCACTTTAGAAGAGTACAACAACCAATATAAGAATCTGGTCAAGAATTTGCCACTCGGCGAAGAAATCATGTTTTTGTTGTCCCATTTNGGCTTATGATAATACAGAACAACTACTGATTACGCTAAATTATTCTATGCTGCACCATTTTTGGGAGTACAACAGTTTTCTCAGCCGTCGAGTAATTACTTATGTTCGTAAACATTATTGTCCAAGAAATGCTCCCATTCTGACCCGATTGTCGTTAAACTTTTGAGCAAGCACTAATTAGTATATCGTAAATAGCAAAGGCAAAATGAAGTGACTTGGGGGTGCTGAGTTGTAGGCAGTACTTTCGCTTCCTAATTCTGAGCCCAAGCTAGAGGGCCCTTTGCTCATACCTGGTTAACGGGACTTTTCCTTCTCTTAAAACTTTTGCATACATTTAAACGTCCCCGTCGTATTTTTCAATGCTTATTCAACAAATCGTTATTCATTCGAGAAATTAATTTCAACCCCTTATTTCTCATGTAGTTATAATTAAGTATCTCGACATCATTAGCAAACTGGCGTGATATGTAATTTGGGGTAAAAGGTGTGCAACCTAATCGGTGAGTTAGCGGTGGCGGTGTCGTCTAAAGGTTTGTTGGGAGAACTTTCAACTAGACCAGCTAAATACATAGGGGAAGCAGCGATTAATTCAGAGGAGTACTGGTTAAAAAAGGACTGATTCAGAAAGGGTAACACTAGGTTGTCAAGTCTTCGAATCACCCGAAATTGGTTATTTTCCATAATTCCCCACTTCATAGGACGGAACACCGATCCCTTGACGGATTGCTCCGTTAATGTGAAAGTTCAGAAGTATCATTACGTCATAAAGAGGATGGCATACATGGAAAGGTCCGCTTCGCTGTCAGCTTATCTTATCTTTGCCCAGAAGTCGTTGGGGGCCAAGTATAACCAACGCAACAGGATTAGGATTTATCTTTGGGGAGAGAATAATTCTTCGAAATATTGGGTCAAGAAAACTTATAAATCCGCAATCGAGTCTCGAGGGCATTTGCCAAAAAATGAAATAAATCTCTGTAAAAGTAGGATTTTTGTTCACTTTAGAAGCGTACAACAACCAATATAAGAATCTGATCAAGAATTTGCCACTCGGCGAACAAATCAGTTTTTGTTGTCCCATTTCCCATCCTATCGCTACAATGGATTCCGTATTCATCATGGTGCATCTCTTGAACTGCTCTTTCTATCTTTGAAGAGGTAGAGTGTGAAGAAATTCTACGTTCGAGGAGCGGATTGTATTGAAATTCGATGGGGAACTCACCGAGCAGCCATGGTGCAGCGCTTTGTTGAGGATCTGATGTTTCAGCCGTTTTCGTAATCGTATCCGGTAATGGAAGCGAATGTCGCACCATTGCCCCGTAAAGGCCGTATTCTGAATATTCCATTTGGTTCTTCCTTTTATGGCTCTGTGACTACTCCAGCTGTTCAGCAACAGAACTCACCTGCCATGATCGTGCTTTTTCCCCAAGTTTTCTCAGTTTTTCGCCATTTTGCACGTCGATTTTGAAACCAAACCTGAAATGAGGAAACTGGGAAGAAGTACGTGATGACGGTTGCTGCGGTTGTTTTTAAAGCATTTCTTGTCCTCCTCATATCTCTGGGGAGGCTAAGCTAGTTCGAATGCCACTTACCCACTTTCATGCAGCAATTTTCTGCGGACTTCTCTACAGAGAACAAATTGGCTTTTAAGCTAATTATGCCTTTTCAACTCTCAAATGAACACGGCCCACAAGTGTGGTCAACGTTAAAAAGGCCGATGGAATGGCGGTAATCACTACGACAAATCACTTTACCTAAAAGGAAGTAGTAGGATGAGGAGTGGCTGGCTATTGAGCACTGATTGGCTATTGTGAAGCCATCGTGGAAATCTACTCGGAAGTCACAAGTGTGAAAAGCGACACTTCTGGTGATTGGATCAGTCGATCTTCAGTCTTGTTGGTAGGGGTTGAAGGGAATTCTCAAAAAGATAGGCTGTGCTGGAGCTACCTGTATCCGGTCTTCTGGCAGTTCCGTTTTCACGGCCAACATTTCCCGAGCATAAACGTCCGGGTAGTGGGCTTCTTGAAAGGCTTTCTCCAGTTCATCAATCTGGTACTGTGTGAAGATTGTCCTACAAAGTTCGAATTATGGGTGTTCTTTGGGAATTAATTTGTCAGATTTACCTGTGCCTCCTTTTCTTGCGTTTGCTCTTTCCTCCAGACCCTTGGTGATTAGTTCCTTCATCAGAAGGGATTGAGTGGGAAGCTGACACCGGCATATTGTAACTGTTATGAGAACCTTAAAAAATGTTTTCAAAAGGCTGGAAGTTCAAGGGTATACCAACAACAGAGCATTTACTTCACCTGCACCCAATTGGTCTGATCCACAAAGCGGTCTGTCGAACGAAGCGCAGGAACCGATGTCGACTGCGAAGTTCTAAACTCAATTATGAAAATTCATAAAGTATAATTTGAAGCGGATGGAAGGCCCTTACCTGCTGTGGGAAAAATCCTTGTGGGCAATAACCATGTGATAGGTAAGCATTTCCTTGTAGACCAAGAATCTCATGAATGGCGAAACTCATACGTTGTGGGCCTAGACCCATAGCTGTACCTTGCATACCTCCCATAGGGCCACCAGCCATGACACCATTGGAGAGCTGCATTTCTTCGACTGCCATAATTTGCTGCCTGTAGAAAATACTGCGACGACACGTCTGCTACTGTAGTAATGGAAGTGATGGGCGGGACTAAGGGGCCATTGGCTAATTTTCAGGCGGCTGGACAGAGTCTGATGAGCGTTGAGGCTGTGGAGGAAGGAGGCGGGATGAGACTTCGAGGGTCGCTCCCCGTTCCCATCGCAAGAGCAACGAGAGAGTCGGCAATGGCAATTTGTGCAAATTAACAAACGCTCTTCCGGTCAAGTTCAATCCTAAGCAAATTGCCTATTTACGGCCGAGTGAAAGTGTCAAAATGCTATTAATGTAACGGAATGTGTGATCTATTTTATGATGGATCGCAATTGCTCTCTGAACTTGACGGCTAATTGCTTAAACGAATCGAATTTCAGTAAGGAAGTGAAGCCAAAGTGATGTACATGAAGGCCAGCGTCGTTTCAGGTGAAAGCATACTGGCAGTCAAGCAAAGCGAACTGCAAGAGGTGCTCCGATTGATCAACTCTGGCCCTCAGTCCACGGTAAATATAGTAAGGGACCAAACGAAATTGTATTTAGAGGTAAAACCGTCCTATTCCAAGAGTGGACCAGAAATTTCAACCAGTGATTTCTAGTGTATCTGTGATGGCCTCGCAAGTAACGTCGAAGAGTTGGAGGACGTGTCTCGCTTAACTCTTTCGACTCCATTGAGAAATGTAGAAGACGCTACATGTACTTTGTCCACGAATCGTTTTATAGATGTCCAGGAGATGACTGAAGGCGACAGAAGTTGTACGACTTACTTTACTCCCCTATATCTTCTCCATTGTTGAGAGATATTTCAGATCTGATGCTATCACCTACTCAACTCGGTAGGGCGGCACTGGTATCTTCTCTACCTCCAGATGCAGCATTGTTTGTATTCAGTGATCTTCAGCAAGCCACCAAAGCAATAGCTCTTGACAGTGAACTTCATATGCTGTACCTGGCATGTTCGGACCTCAAGAAGAAG